GCCCACTGGGCCGCCAGACGACGCCTGTGCTGGAGTGGGAGATCAGCCGGCTGCAGGAGGAGCTGCTCCAGGCCGATGGCCCCCAGCGCCCACCCCCGCCCCCTGACCCCACGCTCCCTCGCCACAGCCATGGGCCCTGGGGCTCCCTAGAGCACCGGTACCAGCTGTACTTCCTGGCAGGGCCTGTGGGTGGCCGAGGCTGCCTGCCCTTCCTGCCCTGCACCCCTAGCCTGGGCACCTGGCTCTGGGCCCTGCGGGCACGGGGCCCCTGTGCACGCCGCCTGGCCCTGCTGGGGCTGCTGGGGCTGGAGCTCCTGGGGCTGCTACTGGTCTCCACACCACTTGTGCTGCTGGGACTGCTCTTCGTGCTGCTGGACCGCGCTGGCCGCTGAGTGGCGCCTGCGGCTGTGGCCAAGAAACCTGGGACCAACCAAGAACCTGAGGCAGCCCCTGAGTATTATTCCTCGAATGAGACCTGCCATCACCGGACTGGAGGCCAGCGCCCAGGGTCCACCAGCAGTATGGCCTGGCCAGAGCATGCACAGCTGCCCGCTGCGCCCGAGGACAGCTGCCAGGGGAGGCTGTGAGCAGGGCCCCACGCCTTGCCATGAACGGGCATGTCTTGGCTGTGGCTGGGTTTCCTCTCAAGACCCAGCGCCCAAACGGGACAGCGTGGGCTGCAGGGACTCCTGCCCTCTGTCCCCGAGACGCTCCAGTACACCTGTCTTAAGGTCAGGATGGCCAGATGGCACAGCTGCTGCAGACGCTCCTGCCCAGAGGGTGCCCCAGAGAGCCGTGGGGGGAGATTGGCCCCATGCTGCTGGGGTAGGACCCACCCAGGTCTGGGAGCCTGAGCACAGGCCTCAGCCCAGCCCAGCCCAGCCCGGCCACCTGCACTGCCTCACATCCCATTGCCCGGGGCCTTCGTCAGAGGACGGCGTAGCTGCTCACTTCATGGGCATGTTGGCCACCTGGGCTAGGTGCTGTGTCCAGTGCTGGCCACTCCCAATAAACAGTGGCTGCTGCTGCCCACCTTGTCACTGGCTACTGTCATCACTTGTCCTTACCGTCCAGGAGGGCTCTTCAGCCCAGGGGGTCCTCTGACTGCCAGTCTCTGCCAGCCACAAGCCCCTGCTGTGACTGGCCCAGTCCCACAAGCCGGGGAACTCTCAGGGCCAGGTGGGCACCAGAGGAGGCCGCAAGTTGCCCCTCACCACAACTACCTCTGTGCTCTTGGCTAGCGTGAAGGAGTGTCCTCTGCCCCAGGGGACAGCCTGCACTCCTGCTTTCAAGCCCTCTGGTCATTCCTCCCCAGGTGTGGGGTGTTGTACTCAGTGAGACCTGGCCCCCACCACCTGCTCAGCCCAGCCTGGTGCCCAGTGAGCAGGGCCTCTGTGGGCTGTAGGCCCAGATGCCCCCGAGGCCCAGGCCAGGGCCCAGCCCCCAGGAGGAAGCTCCAGCCCAGGGACGGATGCAAACTTTGGCAAAGAGTTTTAATGGCAGAGTCGGCTGCAGCTACAGTGCCACGCGGGGTGGGGTGAGGAGGGTCAGCAGGCGATGGGGCAGGGCCAGGTCCCTGAAGCAGCAGCGAGCAAGGGCCGGTGGCAGCAGTGGGCGGGCGCTACATGATGTTGCAGGCAGACAGTGGGTTCCGCACCTGGCAGGTGCAGGCGGCCCCGCAGTACTGCCGGAAGGTCTGGTAGCAGCTGCCCTCGGGCTCACCCCCCCACTGGCCCCCGGATGGGGCGGGCAGCGGCTCTGGGGGCCGGGGGCTCGGAGTGGGGGT